AGACTGCTGTGAGTTCAAGGCCAGCCTGGGCTAAACAGTATGTTCAAGGTCAGCCTGAACTACAATAGCAAGACCTGTCTAAAAAAAACAGAAGAAAAAGAAAAATGAATTCAGAAATAGGTAGAATCAGATGGAGAACCGATGTTGATTTTTCAAGAGGCTGCAAAACCTCCTGATTTGACCTCATACATGGAAGAACCTTGAATATCAGAGGAAAACATCTTTCACATTCTCCACAATCATGGAAATTTATCAACAGTTCCTTCTGAAACCCTAACTGGAATAGAGAAAAACAAAAAGCACTACTATTTTAATCTAGATTGTATGTAAAAAGAGGTCCAAGTATACATGGAGTAAGTTATTTATATAATCAAGTAGTGAGTATCTTCTTTCCTAACAAGATACATTTTAATTCCTGAAGAGATCTTTCATTACTCCCCAATTCAATCTCCCAAGAATACTAGCTACCCACCTCAAATTGCAGACTGGAAATGTGTCTTAGTTTTGAATAATTTAGGAAAGCTAACTTTCCACTCTTAAATTAGCCTCTGCAATATTCCTATTCAAAAGTGAACCAGTAGTGTTATTTCCGTCTTTCTTAGCAGCACTGCAGAGATACAAAGGACCAACCAAGAGCTAAGGAAGGTACCCAAAACATGAGTTCCACATGTTTGGCCACTACTGTGCACAAAACACTATGCCAAAGCACTTCTGGCCATGGGAGAAATAAATCTAACTCTCTGCTGTGTTCCCAGGGTAACAGAACAGCTGAGGAATACGAGGCTGAGCACTGCCATAAGATGAAGGAAAGATAAGGTGCTATGAATAAAGCAGTACAAGTGTAAAGCAAGGTCTCAAAGGGCAAAAATGGCATTCCAGGGAAGGAGAAATATGTGTGAAGGTGTGAAAGTATCTTGGACAAGGGCCAGGGAATCTGCCATCTGACACATCAAGCGCAAGGACCTGAGTTCAATCCCCGGTACCAAAAAGAAAAAAAAGAAAGGAAGTATCTTGGATACCGGGCGTGGGGAAGACTGAAAAGCTAAATTAAGACAAGTAGTAAATGCCTTACCACAGAATGCAACCTTTATGTCACAGGAAGTGGGGTTTGGGTGCTATAACCCAATCCTGATATAGCAAGAGGTTTTCATGTAAGGTTGCTGGTTACCCAAGATACTAAACTAAAACCTAAGGCAGTGCAGTAGCTATGAGTAATTAAATTAATAAGGGCAAGAATTAAGGTGGGGAAAGGGAAAGCAATGTGACCAGATAACTGTCATGGTTTTTTAATTAGGTAGTCGTTAGCAAAGATTTTCTGCAGAAAATGTGGTTTTTGTCCAGGAGTGGTGGCGCATGCCTGTAATTCCAGTACTCAGGAAGCTGAGGCAGGAGGATCACTGTGAGTTCAAGACCAGCCTGGGCTACATAGTGAGTTCCAGGTCATTCTCAACTACACAGTGAGACCCTAACTCAAAAAGCCAAAAAAAATCAAAAAACCAAAAAAAAGAAAGAAAATGTGGTTTTTGCCAGGATAAATCTAGCATCATGTGATTTCTCTTATATAAGAAACCCAAAGTATAAATAAAAAGCAGATCAAAGATAGATAATAGAAGGGAAGGAGATAAATCTTTCTGAAAGTGGAAAGGGATCAAAAGTTAAGAAAGGAAGGGAGAGGAAGGGGATAAAAAAAAGAATGAAGATGTGTTAAATTCATGTACCAACTCCACGAGGAGTATAAACACTGTGAATTGCAAACATGTGCCAAAAAAGAAGAAAAACAAGAGACAGATGAGAGAGGAAGGAAAGGGGTTGAAAAAAAAATAATTAAGGGGCCAGGGAGTTAGCTCAGTGGTGCCACCATCTGCCTCGCAAGGGCAAGGACCAAAGTTCAATCCCCAGAACCAAAAAAATAAATAAATAAATAAAATTAAAAATAATAAAACCTGTTTTAAAAAAAGAAAAAAGGAATTAAGATATATCATGTACATGTACCGACTCCCCACAAGGAATGTAAACATTATGTTTACGTAGTGTTACTACAAACATTATGTTTACATTGTTTACTACAAACATGTACTCATAAATAAAACAAAAAATCTAGCATGTGCTCCAGAGTGCTCTTAATTTTTAATTATTCAATACTAGGACAAATATCCAGTCTATTTTAATTCTCAATGGAATTTAGGTGAAAATTTCTCTCAAGACAGTGTCAATGAAAATTCACCACAATTCCTCCTCACTCCATCCCAGGACTCCTCACCCCAGTTTACCTAATAGATTTTTAATCTGATTCAGCCTCTTCCTGATTAAATATTTCTGCCTCTCTGCCAGGGTTCCAGACCATACCGATGCTAAAAAAATCTCTTGTGGCTCAAAAGTCTTAGCAGAAAAGATTCTGAACACAGCCTGAACATTACCAGAAAGCAGGGCTGACTCACGTTTTCATGGTAGCCCCAAAAGCGAATGAGCCTTTGGGGTAGGAAGCTTGGGAGCTTTGTCTTTCTGCACAGCAACATAAAATGAGACCCTAGTTTGCCCTGTCCTGAAGTGACTTTCATTAATTGTAATTGTCACCTCTAATTCATCACCCAGCCCAGGATGGGGGCTAGATATCAAGCAGCATAAAAATTTTCTAACTGCACAAATTCTATACGGAAACTGTACGTACAAGGTCATTGTCTTTTCAAGCCCACCGACTGATATTTATTTGGGAAGAATGAAAGCTTGGCTACTCCACAAAATTGCTGCTTGCTTATGTCCCTCCTTGAACATTTTATCCATGCTAAGTCTTTGGCCCAGTCTTCCATGGATCCTGGACATGGTACCTCAGCTTAGAGAATTTCTGACAGTTGACTTAGTCTTCTTTGAACTTGCTCAAGAAAAACTTCAGAACAATATCTAAGAGTCTCTCAGGATGCAGTCACAACATCAGTTGATACATACAAAGGTTTAGGACATAAAACAGTAAAGGCAAAATGCCAAGGACACTGCTTTCCAAGAGACATTTGTACTTTTATATACTTTCTGCCTTTTTTTAAAATGCCCATGCTTTCAGCTTTCAGTCCCCCATGAATATGAAAGATCTTTTAAAAAACCACATTTTTCTTAAAATATTATGACTTTCACTTTCACTTTTTTTTGGCTTTCAGTGGAAGTAAGAGAAAAATCCTTTTTAGCCAGCTTTTTTAGAACAAGCTCATAAGCATAAATGAAGGACTATGCAAGTTTAATGTGAAGATCACAGCTTCAGAAAACATGAAAGGTTTAGTGAAACACATTAACAAAAATTATCTAGCTAGACTTTAAAACTATCATACAATTTGACCTTTTACTAAAATACACCGACTATACACACATAAAAAATAAGATATAAAAGTCTGCATGTTTATATAAGACATCTTGAGTTCTATCATTTATTACTAGCTCTACAATCAATAATAAATCTGTATACTGTGTCCAAATTATCTCCAGCTCTTTATTAAGAGTATGAGCTGACTGAAGCTAGCTTCCTGGTCTTATCTTTTACTCCCTGAGAAAATCTTTTAGCACCCTCTACTGGCCACTACTTACTTCTCATCAACTCAAAAGAGAGCAATTGCCTCTCAGTGGTGGCTACAGCTCAGGTCTCCCCATCCCTTCATCAAAGCCACCCATATAAAGGGAGAAACAGGAACCATTGCCGCAAAAGGAAAGGAAGAATCCTGAATACTGTCCTTCCACTGCTTGAGTATGACTTCTGTCCTGGCTGACAGATTTCACATACTCTATCTTGGGTCTGAAGTTCCTGACCTGCATTTACCTCTAGTAGCCAACCACAGGCCTCTTCTCTACATTCACAGATGCTTCCATGGGCTGAGTCCCATACCACCGTCCCACCTGACTGCTTCATCTAGCCACCTCTGGGGTACAGAGGCATCTGGAGGGACCAGCTCCTCTATCACCTGGATTAACCAAGGGCAGAAAGAATTGGAGAGCACATATTCCCACAGGGCTCACAGATCTGATGCCAATTAATTCACTGTCCTTGGGTTTATATTAGTCAGATTTTTTAGTAAGGGAGGGCACCAGAAAAGAATTTTTCCTCTTCCATGGTCTCATGACAAAGCAACTTCTAATTCTTCACAGTTAGAAGTGAGACTTCCTTAGTAAGATAAAATACAACAACTGTAAAACCTTTATCTCATTATCTCACACACTGTCTTTTATAAAGGAAAAAACACTAAAATCCACATGGTATTCATTATTAAAAATCAGAAAGAAAGGAAAGGGTAAGAGATAAGGAAATAAAAGGTAAGAGTCTCTTCACTCCAAAATCTTGCCAGATCAAACTATCATTTACTAATTAATAAATGTTTAGTTTTACATCATGCATTGAAGGCAAAATATTCTTTAAGACACTGTAATTCCTACTATCAAAGAACACATGATTTGTTACTATTCCATAAGAAATAATTAGAAAGGAACAAACTGTCAAATTCTTTAGGAAAAATATACACTGGAAATTCCATACATACATATATATAAACACATAACCCCCAACACTGGTGTATGGAAAAATGATGACTAAATATTAGTAATGATCATTGCCAGTAGAACTTCTGATCTGTACTTTTTCTTTGTTCATATTTTTCAGTATTGTTTGAATTTCTACAATGAGAATACAGTACCTTAACAAAAAGATAGAGAAAAAAGTTAACAGCTTATCAAGGATTTAAACAGAAAAAAAAAAAAAAAAACCTGCTTCCGAATATAACAATGTACATAGAGAATGATCATGACCAGTTATATAAAAAACACACTGGAAAAAAACATACAGAATCATTAATGACTGTTAGTCTCTAGGGACAGCACTGATTTGTACCATGTGCTTTCTTGCCTTCTCATACTTTAATAACAAAAAACGGATCTTCATTTTTAAAAATTTCAATATTAAACGTTTTTTCACCTTTTTTAACATTCCTTGGTAAAAGTGCTGTAAAGATATCACCTCAGCATCATACCTGGAATAAGTGCTGTGCTGATGAGGATGTCTACTTCCTTGCATTGTTGGGCAAAGAGCTTCATTTCGGCTTCAATGAACTCTTTGGACATCTCTTTTGCATACCCTCCTTGTCCCTCACCAGATTCCTTCAAGTCCACCTCCAAGGGCTCAGCACCAAGAGACTTGAACTGTTCCAAAGCTGCAGCTCTAGGGTGATTAATGAAGAGGCATCTAGTTATTTTGAACCCGTAGTACATGAATATAAATGTTCATTTATATATATGTTTTCAAGAAAAGCAAACTGTATATAGTCAAAAGTCAAGAGTTTCTTTTGATGCCTCTGGTTAAACTGTTTCAATTTTTGTTTCCTTACAAGTACATAATACTTTAATGAAATATTTTTTCTAGAAAAATTATAGAGAATTCTACCCTCTCCTTTAGTTAAGTTACAAAAAGAATTTCACTATTGCCAATCCCAGGAATCAATTACATTCTTTGTGGTTCCAATATATTAATAATAATATAGTATCTGACATACACTAAGATTCGGTATTATTCATATCACTCAAGTTGAGGTTTGCATTTGTAAATGTTCTGAGTTTGTTCTTATTAGGGTCAGGTGTTCTCAGTGGGCCCTTTTCCCATATAAGTGAATATTTTACTTAAAATAATCATCTGGGGATGTAGTTTAGTGATAAAGCATTTGCCCAGCATGCACAAGGCCCTGTGTTCCATCGAAAAAGAGAGAGAGAGAGAGAAATTTTAATTATTTTTCCTCCATCCCTCCTCATTAAACTGTTTTTATAAAAAGTAACCTATAAATTGAGTAAATGCTAAAATGTGAAAAACCAATATAAGGTAGGTAAAAGAAATTCAGTTTAAATAAATGTTAACCAACCACTGTATCCTGATTAGAAAATCAAAGCGAACAAAGATTTCATCTCTGTGGTGAAATCCATTCCATAGCAATAAATTCCAAAACTCCCTAAAGACAACAAACTCAAGGTACTTGCTCCCACCACCCTTCTCAAAGCCACTGAATTATGATCTCTCCAACGTCAAGGCCAAAAGCAGAAACTACATCTTTAGCAAGAGCAGCAGATCATTCTTGGGGTGGGGGGGGCAGTACTGGGGATTTTAACTGAGGAACTTGCACTTGCAAGGCAGGCACAGCACCAGTGAGCTGAATCCCTGGCCCAACGGATCTTTTTTTTTTTTTTTTTTGTACCAGGAATGGAACTCGGGTCCTTGCGCTTGCAAGGCAGGCAGCTGAACCACTAAGCTAAATTCCCGGCCCTAGCAGATCATTCTTGTCATCAGTGAAGGTGGGGAAACTGGTCGGAGCCAATAAATCCCTAACAACCATCATGTCCTGGTTTTCTCTCTCTCTTTCTGGCTTCAACAAGACTTCTGGTAGCTCCGACTGCCCCAGTAGGAATTAGCTTCAGGAGGAAGTCAAAGCTGAGGATAGCAAAGAAATAACAGAAACAACGTAGTGCCTCCCTACCCACTCCCCGCACACATACACAAACCCAGGGTCTGAGCCCTGAGCCACACACCCCCTTTTTTTTTTTTGGAAACAGGTCTCACTAACTTGGCCAGGCTGGGCTTAAATTTGCAGTCCTTCTGCCTCAGCTTACCATACTGCTGGGATTGAAGACATTCTTCACTCTGAAAAGTTACATTTGTCCCAACTTTGAATCTTTCTAAAACACTCAATATTTAAAAGTGGAAACAGAGGATTGTAGCTCAGTGGTAGAGCATGTGATTAGCATGTAGGAAGTCCCAGATTCAATCCTCAGCAGCAAAAGATTAGGATTGACAGTGATAGTATTCCTCTATTGCCCTCATTGATAATAAATAACTACATGTTTTGGACTCAAAAAAGTACTGGATCAGCTAAATGAGAACAGCACTTAATAAAATCAAGAACCTACTGTTTTCAGCAATGAAGAACTTTTTTGAAAACTCCTCTTAAAGACAATCTAAGAAAATGTTTATATATCTGCTTTAGAGAAATACAAAATTAATATAAATTAATATAATTAATATAATTTAGAGTCCTAGGGACTCTAAAATTATAAAAGATATTCAACTCCCTTTAAATTCAAAATCAGCATTGTTGAAACAATAATGCAATAATAATATATTTGTTGTTGCACTTGGTGAAAGTATTTGGAGACTGTGGCCCAGTCAATTCTATTTCCTTCTGTCCATTCAATGAAGGGCAGTCCATTCACTAAGATGTTTCCTGTGCTACTCTGTTTCTTTATACTGAAAACAGCTTTTTTCATGTCCTGAATAGTGTTTAGAAGCATTCTGAAGTACTAGTAAAACAACATATCAGAAACTCAGCAAAGAGATAACTAGTGCTAGTCCCACTGAATGCTAGTCCCTTGCCAATTTACCCAAAGATAGAACTACAAGTTGTTAGTTCGTAATGCTTTTGCTAATTTTTTGCTGCACTGAGGCTGTGCTCATCCATTTTTTTCCTCTACACATTTTTCACTATGATTTACTTTTACAAAATAGAAACATAGAATGAAGAGTTTACAAAGCAGTTTCAGTGAGATATTAGAATTTATGAATCCTAAAGAAAATGTATTAGGCCCCATTTAAAACATGTCACTTTCAGCTTAATGTCCATTACAATTTGGATCTGAAATGTCATGAGCCCCAAAGGCTCATGTGTTTGGAAGGCTTGATCACTGTCACAGCTTGTGTTTAGATGTCCCCTCAAAGCCTCATTCAGTCATAGGTGGGGCTTTTTCAGAGGTAGCTGGATCGAGAGTGTGTGACACTGGAATTGACTCATGGTGCAATACTAGGATCAAAGGCATTAGGATTAAAGATGTAAACGCTACCCATCCTAAGTAACCTATATAAGATATAAAGAATAAAAAATGCTGTGGTCTTCCTTTGTTGCATTGCTACCTTCTGCCCACCATGAACTGTTTCTCCTCTGCAATGCCACCTTGACTTGGAGCCAACCAATTATAGACTAAAATCTCAACAAACTGACGAAAATTAACCTTTCCTCTCTTACATTGTAGGTGTCCGGTGTTTTGTCTCAGCAATGAGAAAAGTAACTAAGACAAAACTTGGTACCAGAGAAAAGGGGTCATTGCTTTGACTGTACCTGACCATGTGGTTTAGGAGCCTTTGCAGCTGGCTATGGGAAGGAGAAGAGTTAGGAAAGGTTTAGAGATGTCAACTGAAAAAGTAGAGCTGTTAACGCCTTAGTCTATACTAAAGGGAGATTCTGGTTAGAGCTCAGAAAACCAGAAAACTAGTAAAGACCAGGCTTAGGAGGTTTCTGCTGGTTAGAAGGACTGCATTGGCTGTCTGACTCCAGATGATGTGTGTTATGTCTCCACAGAAAATGTGTGTGCATTTTGCTTTGGATCCAGAAACTTTGCTTGAGACTGAGATTAAGGACGGCACACTAATTAATTAATCTGGCAGAAAAAATTTCAAGGCAGTCTAATGTTGAGGTGGTGGCATGGTTACTGTTGGGGGCTTTTAGCTAGATTTATGTTAAGAATCAAGACCAAAGAGCCCAGCAGAATGATTTAAAATGTTTTGAATCTGGCCAGAAAGAAAGGTCCAGCCTGCAAAGATGGAACAGAGGAGATACTGGTCGCTGAAAAGACTAGTACAAAAAAGCCTAGTATTTCAAAAAACAAAAGAAAAGGTGGCCTGAGGACATCATAAGTACCAACAGTATTCCAGCCTCAGAGTTGCAAAAGTAAAAGACTTTGCTTTGAGAAGAGAGCCCCAGAGCACCATGTTCTAGAATGGTAGCAGCCCAAAGAAGTTGTTCCTCGAGATTTGGTTCATAGGCACAACCCCTACCGCCAAGAGAAAAGGAAGCTCCACCTGGCAGTGGACTTAGGCATCATCCACGTGGCACTGATTTTAGGTGCAAGCACAATGCAAAAATTGTGGGGTCAGGAAGTCCTCTACCCAGATTTCAAAAGAAAGTATGGGTGGCCAAGCAAGTGCAGTCTCTGAAAGGGCAACGTGTGAAGCTGTGAGTGAGAAGTCAAAGATGAAGTGGAAACCCCAGAAGTTTGGAGAAGCCATCTGGGGAAAACTGCAAGGAGAGAGCAGCACTGGCCCCAGAAAAAAAACATGGGAGCTACAACCACTGGCAGTGCCATAAGGGCAGAGCCACCCAAGCCCTTTGGAGTTCACTACTTGCCAGATTATGGGCATGCTTGAAGTGGAACTGTGGGATTTAAAGTTTGCCCTGCTGGATTTTGCTCTTGCATTAGTTTTGTTCCTTGCTATTCCCATTTGTAACTTTTGGAATAGAAATGTCTATCTTGTGCCACTGAATGTTGGAAGTGTTTAACTTTCTTTTCATTTGTACAGGGGCTTGTAGCCAAGAGTTTGCCTTAAATCTCAGAGAAGATCTGGACTTGGGACTTTTCAGCAGTGATGAAAGTGTTAGGACTTTGGCAACTCTTGGAGATGGACTAAATGCCTTTTGCATAAAGGGACATGCATGAGTCTTTAGGAGGCCAGGGACAGAGTGTTATAGCTTGTGTTTAGATGTCCCCCCAAAGCCTTATGTGGTCATAGGTGGAGCTTTTTCAGAGGGGGCTGGATCTAGTGTGTGTGACACTGAGAATTGATTTATGGTGCAATGCTAGGATCGAGGGAACTAGGATTCATTTATTTAATGAGCTACTGGGAAGTCGTGGACACTTAGGAAGTGAGGCCTAGCTGGAGGAAGTCACTCGTTTAGTGTGTGCCCTTGAATACTAGATGATGCCTCTACCTCAAACTCTATCCTTCCTCTCTCTTTCTGTCTTTCTGTCTCCTTCCTAGCTGCCATTAGGTGAGCAGCTATGCCTTACAGTGCCTCTTCATCAGGCTGTTTCTGCTACGCCACAGGGCTAAAAACAATGAAGTCAGCTGACCATGGACTGAAACCGTAAATCAGGTTAAACCCTTTCCCCTTTAGGTCGATTTTCTCAGGTATTTTATCACAGTTATAGCTGACACAACATTAGTCTATAGTCAAGGGCTTACCTTGTATCAAATCCTCGAACAATTGCACCCATGGACTTTGCTGCACCTGCAGAAGCAAGCCCAGCAACACCACCACCAATTATCAGAATCTGAGAAAGAAGAAAAAAAAGTTCTGTTTTATTTAAAGTTCACTATGAACTGATTATAACAAATCAACAGCAACTACCAGTACCCGGTGCAGTTAGGATTCCATGAACAGTGTGGCTGATGATAGTGGTGATGACCAGCTCTCCACACATGGACTGAGTGGACAGACTATTCTATAGGTGAACCACCAGATTTTAAAGATTTATCAAAGGAATACCTGCTGGCAATGGACAACAACCTTCACAAAAAGAGCCTGACAGTCAGCATCTCAGTGTAAAATCTATTATACAAGCACAATCAGTTACACAGGTTACAGAGTAGCAGGTTCTTTCTCATTGTACAAAAGCTCTGACTACTAAAATTTCTAGATGACTTTCTAACTACCTCTCCACTCTCAAATTCTAAGGTTTTTCTGTGTTCATAAAATACCAAAACACATTTCATAGATAATTGAAACTTTGGAGAAACATCTACACCAACTCCTATTTGAACTCAAATGATTCTGAACAGAACCGCTGTTCAACCACATAATCCTGAAACATTTTGAATGAACTGTACCTGAAGTCTGAAGCAATGTATCTAATCTCCCTAAGCATGGAAGGATCAGAGTCAAGAGAATCAAAGAATTCCTCAAAAACCAGAATCTCCCCCACCTCCTCAGAAATAAGTGAGAATAATGTCTCTAGTCTGCCAGCCTTCCAGGAAACAGTTCAGCTCTACATCCCATATACAGTCAACTGAATACAACTCTTTGTTCCTGTAGAAAAAAATGCCACCCACAAGAACTACAAAGTTTATAAACTCCCACCCACAATCATGCCCACATCTCCTTCCGCCTTGCTAAGAAGTCTAGCTAGTCCATCTGCCCCAGTGACTCTTAGGCAGTGTCTCGGAGATCATGTCACTTGACCTTGATGATGGTAGTTTGTTCAGGGCAGAGGGAAAGTCCACAGAAAAGGAACAGAGACGGGTGGGGGCAGGCAGAGGGAACAAGCAGGCTCTGGACTCCCAACATACCAATCCTGTTCTAAACAAAAGTTATACCTCTGCCTTAAAAAAACATAATGGAGAGAAATAAAATATGTTAAAAATCTTTGGACTGGGCCAAGTTATCCTGACTCAAGAAACAAGAATGCATGATTACAATTAATAGGGATAAGTTTCAATAGATCGCTTGTACAGCAAGATAACTGTAATTAATGGCAACATATTGTATTCTTGAAAAACGTAAAGAAAGTGGATGCTTAGTGCTCTCATATGAAAATGACAACCATGGGAGGTAACACATGTGTTAATCAGCTGGATCCAACCACTTCACAGCCTATGTATATACTTCAAAAGATCATGCCATACATGATAAATTCAACCAGTATTATCTGTCACGATAAACCTTTTTTAATTAACAAAAAAGAAAGAGCAGAGATTTCAGAATATAAAAGGTAGAATTACACACAAAGCAATGCAATGCTATAATAAAAATTTATTCTCTGAGCATAGGGTGAAGAAAAAAAACAGAAACTAAGAGTCAGGAAGGTTGGGTGAAAATTATGACACTGTAACTAATTAGTTCTGAGAGACCTTGAGCAAATCACTTAGCATCTGCAATACAGCAGTGCAAATGCCTTCTAAAATGTTATTAAATGATGAAATCTAAGTAAAGCCCTTACTGCTCACTGGCACACGGTAGACATATATTCAAGAAGTCACAGAGGGAGAGAGAGGGCAAGAGAAAGGAGCTACCTATAGAAAGGTTCTTGATGTACGTAGGCTGATATAACCCAATCATGCTCCCAGCTTCCTCATCAGGAAAGGACACTATCTGTGCCCAATTCTTTGTGCCATAATGAAGAAGTCGCTTTGCATTATCTTTGCACATTTCCCACTTCCAGTCCACCAACAAGCCCTGCTGGTCTTGAGCCCTAGAGATTTCCCAGTCCCTCTGCTCAATATCTCTGTTGCCATCACATTCTGTTGCCAAATACAACGAGTTCCTAACAGGTCTTTCCTACTGTATGTCCTTCTGAGCAGCCAGAAGATTTTTTTTTAAATCTGGAATGGGGCATTTCCCTCACCTGAAAAAGAATGTTCATTGAATAACATGACCTATAAGAGAGGCCTCAGATAATCCAGACCTTCTTTCCCACATCATCTCAGATCACTCTCTACCTTGTTTACCACACTCCAAGGCCAGTGGTCCTCTCTCCTATCCTAGTACACACTAAGTTCTTTCTCATCTCAGAGCCTTTCTATGTGTTCTTTGCCTAGAATCCTAAGTCCCTGATTTCTTTCTTCTCATCCTTCAAATCTCAGCTCAAATGTCAAAGGAGCCTTCCCCAGCCCCTAATTTAAGTAGTTGACATGTTCTTATTACTATCATAATATCCAGCTCATTTCTTTTGTACCTAAAATCATCCCACATATTTATCTGGTTTCTTATTTGTGTCCTCACTGCAACCCCACTAGGAGGTAAGTTTGGTGTTGTAGGAATGTTGTTGTTTGTCAGGCATGTCCCCAGCTCCTAGAAAATTCTCTGGCATAGCACAAGCTTTTAACTGAGTGATTTTAGTTCATTCTAGACAAGTAAAAACACCTTCTATTTAAAAAAAAAAAAAAAGCCAAACTAAAAATCTATCTTGATGAGCCTAACTGGGGTCTTAATTCTTTAATTTCAAAATGCTATTTCTGACACAGAACCAAAATCTCTCAAACTGCAAATGAAATTCTAGTAAAGGTAGTCACTTAATACCCTTTAAAGTCTAAGACTCTCCTTCCTATAAGCCTATCTTTTATTTCACTTTTTAATCCCTTATATTTACACATGTCCTCTCAACTTTCACACATTTCTAGAAAGAGTCTATTTAAAACTGAGTACTGGATTTGTGCATCAAAGTATTGAGTGATTGTAAGCTTCTGGCCACCTTGAATGCCAGATTTTTGCTTATGATCCTAAAAAAAGAAGTTGAAATGTAATCATTGTATATATTACCTATGTTGTTTCCACATACTTCCTTACCAAGTGTGGGCCTCTGCTTGATGATTTTTTTCCACCTGGTCATTTTTTTCAAAGCAATAAATAACTAGACTTCTCTGCTTAATTAAGTAGTTGTTTGTTTTCTTTTCTTTTCTTTTTCATTTTTTAAATTTATTTTCATTAGTACATGTTTACAGTACATAATGATTACACTGATCATGGGAGATTTGTACATGTACAAAACACTTCTTAATTCTTTTCTTTTGTCCCTTTTCCCTCCCCTCTCTCCAACCCTTCTTCTCCTCCCCATTTACAAAAGCTCTATTTCCATTTCTTCCTTCAATTCTTTTTTTTTCTTTAAATCACTTTCCATTCCTTCCCTCCTCCCTCCCCCACTTTTTGTTTCCCTTCTCATTTAAAAAAGTTCTTCCTACTTCTTAATATCTATGCTGTTTATTTATACTTTGGGTTTCTCAGTAAGAGAATGCAATATTTAAACTTTTGTATCTGATTTATTTCATTTAAGATTGTGGTCTCATTTACATGAGAACTCTGGGTTTATTTAAGGAAGTACTTAAGAGCAGAAAAGCACAAGATAACCTAAACCCTGCTGGCAACACTGAAAATCCTGTCCTTGGGTGAGGGTATAGTTCATTGGTAAAGAGTGTGCTCAGCACGTGTAAGTGCCAAGAATCCAAGTTCAATCCCTTGCACCTAAAACAAAAACAAGTCTAAAGTCCTTCTCCCTATATCTAGCCTTGGGGTTCATATTGTAATGTAGCATTCTTAGTATTGAAAGACCACACTAAAATCTCCTATTCTTTTGCCTACCTATCCCTACCTCTCATCATTAATTCCTTTGGTCTCAATCTGTATTAAAGAATCAGCAACCTTCCCCTCTGCTAAATACCGTCTATACCATCTCTGATTTTCTGTCCTTTTGACCAAAAATCGACAGAGGGACAAAATCAAATAAGTCTTTTCTATGAACTAAAATGTTGCAATAATTGTGAAACAATCTTGAATCTTTTTAAAAATTAGCAGTAAACACACCATATAGACCAAATTATCCAAAATTCCTTTGAGAATCCAAGTCAGTAACAGGAAAGAAGACCAGAACATCCATAAAAGTCAAAGATTACTTTTTTCAAGCAATCTTTTTTTTTTTTTTTTTTTTTTTGGTACCAGAGATTGAACTCAGGACCTTGCACTTTTAAGGCAGGCACAGAACCACTAAGCTAAATCCCCAGCCCTTTTGAAGCAATCTTAAATGATCAGTTTTGAGGTTCCTTCATAAATTTTGCACATGTCTCAAAAGTCATCAATCAGTGTGAAGTTAACACAAAAAACTTATAAATAATTATTTTAAAATAATACATATTTTTGCTTTTAACTAATTCATATGATGAAGACAAAAGTTGTACCTACCTTAGCTGGAGGAACTTTCCCAGCAGCTGTAATCTGACCAGTAAAAAATCGTCCAAAGTGATTTGCTGCTAGGACAACAGCCTTATAACTTAAAAAATAAATAAACATAATTATATAAAATGAAGCTCTTAAGTATATATATTTTATCATAAATTAGCAATTCAGCTTTGTCGAAGAATAACAGCTAACGTGTATACAGTACTTGCCATGTAAATAACATGAGTGTTGTATATATACTGACTCCTTCAACCTTCACAATAAGCCTATGGATAGGCAAAATTATTACCCTTATGTTACAGGTTAGCAAACTGAGACACAGACAGATGAAGAGACTGGTCATTCATCTAGTTAACAGCAGAACCTGAAGTCTAACCCAAGTAGGCTGTCTGTGGGTGATGCTACCCAGCCTCTTCATAACAAATACCGCAGATCAGGTGAGATTTTAAAAAAACAAGAAAGAAAAAAAAGACAAGAAAATACTAACAAATACTTTTGGAAGCTGCTGAAAGCACGCCTCCTTTCAACTTTCCCTTTCCAAATTTTCTTTGGCAACTACATATTAGGAAAAACTTGTAAGTTAAAGAGAACTAGATTAGCTGTATGTTTCTATGTAAGAAGATTCTGACCTCGAAGAAAAAAAGAACACTACCCTCGATCTGAAATCATGACTGAAAGCATAGATTTTGGGACAAACTGACTCCAGTTCACATCCAGGTCCCACAAATTTTGTCTTTGCAACCTCAGGCAAATTTCTTTAATTTTTGGTTTCCTCACCTATAAAGTGGAGACAAGATGAGCATCTATCTCTGAGAGTTACTCTGAGGACTAAATAACATGATACAGGTGCAGTACTTAGTATTACAACTATCATGTAGTGTCCTATAAATGCCCAATAAATATTAAGTATTTGGGCTAAAGAAACAAGCTATGCAATGAAAAGTAATAATGTGCTACATATTTTTCTTGGTGGGATAATTTTTATATACTACACTGATCTCATTTTGGTATCATTTTATACTTACAAGGTACTTTTGTACATTGTCTCATGGTAATACACACTTAATATTATAATCCAGCTATTCAGTGTTAAGACCCACCTGGCAAAAGAATGTCTCCTTGATCACTTTTTTTTTTTTTTTTTTTTTTTTTTTTTTTTTTTT